TCACAACTGTTCCAGCAGAGTTCTCTTTCTGGCCAAGATTATAATGTAGACTCTGCTGCACCTGCTTCTCCTTTGACTGATGGATGGTGCCAGGTTGGTTTCCCCTTGACGTGGCATTCTTGTTGTGAAACAAGGGTTGTGCTGCAAGCTTAAATTGTTGACCAAAGCAAGAATTATGCTTCCATTCCACCCTGCACCAGATTCCAATCAGCAAGGCTCTACACCCATAGTTTATTGGTATAAAAATAATTAGATATATTTTGGTGCCTCAAAAAAGTCCTGAGCACACAGTTGTTTGCTCCTGCAGATTAATGTGAATACACAATTTTTTTAAAAAAGCTGCTAAGAGTTTTAGGATAGGAACCACATTATGCCAGGAATGGAAGATTCAGCCTTGGCTTATGGTGAATCCAACTGCCTAAATTATTTCCAGTGAGATAATCCTCAACCTACAACCACAACTGAGCCCAACATTTCTGTTGTTAAGCAAGACATTTGTTAAGTGAGTTTTGCTCTGTTTTACAACCTTTCCAGCCACCGTTGTCAAGTGAACCACTGCAGTTATTAAATTAGTAAAATGGTTGTTCGATGAATCTGGCTTCCCCGTTGACTTTGCTTGTCAGAAGGTCGCAAAAAGTGATCACGTGATCCCCAGGATACTGCAACTGTCATAAATATGAGTCAGTTGCCAAGCATCTGAATTTTGATCACATCGCTGGGGTGATGCTGCAACTGTTGTAAGCGTGAAGAAAGGTCAAGTCCCTTTTCTCAGTGCTATTGTGACTTCAAATGAACCGTTGTAAATCAAGGATTACCTGTACATTGTTCCCTTGAAATAAACTGAGCTGGCCAAGAGCATCTTTGTTGCATGGCTCCCATCGATTTGAAGCAGCTTTCCTTCATTTGCTGGTCTTTAGTTCTTTCACTTCAGTTCCTAGAATTCCTTTACAGAGGACCAGATTCAGGGAGTCTGGCTAAAATGGGGGGAATCTACCTTTGAAACAAGGTTTCCAGAGAACTCAAGGCAAAATTTATTTAAGATCTTGATCCCTTGGTCCTTCTCTGTTCCATGTCTGCCCGTTGTCATGTGGAAGGGTGTGACGTGAGCGCGATGAGCTCTCTAGGGATGATCCTGGTGACACCTCCACCATTTCTGTTAACTGGAATTTCTCTGAACATGGATCTACCAAACCTCTGGAAAACCAATCAAGCTATGTCCCAGAATAATTTCTATGACAGGATTAGAGGATAGTGCCAAGAAGGAATAGGAAGGAGGCAGGGGTGGGCTTCAAAATTTTTAGCAAGGGGTTCTCTGCCTGGTTGCTAGGTGAGTGTGGCCATGGTGGGCATGGTCTAGTCAGCCTCCTGCACCACAGCAGGGGATTGTTTTTACCCTCCCTCCAGGCTCCGGAGGCTTACCTCGAGCCTCCGGGAGGGCGAAAATGGCCTCCCCGGGCTCCGGAGGCTCTCTGGAAGCCAGAAAAGGGCCCCATTTCCAGATTTCCTGAACTTCCAGGGAGGCCCATTTTTTGCCCTCCCTCAACCTCCACACATGGCCTGCACTTACCTGCATCCAAAACAGTCCACCTGGGGACTTCTGGGAGGGGTGGAGTGGGCGGAGCCAGCCAGGAGTGGGATTTGAGGATTCTCCAAACTGCACAGAATCTTAGCTAGGGGCTCTGCGAATTCCCAGCAGCCTGACCTCTGGAAGGAGCTCTGTTGTTGTGCCACACAAGCCCCCTTGTGTTTCCTCTCACATCTCTTCCCCATCAAATGTTTAGGTGGCCTATTTTGGGTCTTCTCTAGTCTTCCAAAAACCTTGTGTTGTTGTAAAATAAGAAATTCACATTACCAGTGGGAAGCACTCATTTACGTCAAGCTGTTACCCTGGATGTTTGAAAGCTGGTTTCAGGCTTCTACCCACAATCCCGGAAGCTGTCTCATCCCGTGCTGAGCATGACAAATAGAAGTTTTTTTGTGCCAAAAAGATAGTAGACTTGGAAGGGACCTTGGAGGTCTTCTTGTCTAACCCTCTGCTCAAGCAAAAGACTATACCCAGGGGTGGGATTCAAATTTTTTAACAACCGGTTCTGTGGGCGTGACTTATTTGGTGGGCGTGGCTTGGTGGTCATGTGACCGGGTGGACATGGCTTGGTGGTCATGTTATTGACATTTCCTCGCCTGGCCTCTCCTGACTGTGGGGATGCTGCAACAGTCGTAAGTGTGAAAAATGGTCATGAGTCACTTTTTTCAGTGCCATTGTAACTTTGAATGGTCATTTCACACAAGCAAAGTACCAGCAAAGGAGGGGGAAAAAACTCCAGAGAAGTTCCTGAGACAGGAAGTCTAGTCCTGCCAAGAATGTAATAAGGGTTAACGGAGAGGCAGTTTCTGTAAGCAACACCAGAATGTTTCCTTCCTGCCTTCCTTACAGGATTAGGCCAGTAATTTCTTCTAACAACCGGTTCTCCAAACTGCTTAGAATGTTAACAACCAGCTCTAGCGAATAGGTGCGAAGTGGTAGAAGCCCACCCCTGAATATACCATTTCAGGCAAATGGCTGCCCAACCTCTTCTTTAAAATCTCCAGTGATGGAGCGCTCTCAGCTTCTGAAGGCGAGCATTTCTGAGGGCAAACAATAAGCGTTCCTCAACTTACGATCACAATTGAGTCCAAAATTTCCATTGCTAAACGAGACAGTTGTTAAGGGTCTTTGCCCCATTTTTACAACCTTTCTTGCCACAGTGGTTAAGTGAATTGCTGCAGTTAAGTTAGTAACTTGGTTGCTAAGTGAATCTGGCTTCCCTAATAAGGGTTGCAAAAGGTAACCATATTCTGGGACACTTGCAACAGTCATAAGTACATGCCAGTTGCCAAGCATCCAAATTCTGATCAGGTCACCCCCGGGGATGCTGCAAAGGTCACAAGGGTGAAAAACGTTCATCACTCGCTTTTTTCACTGCCATTGTAACTTTGAACGGTCACTAAACAAATGATTGTAAATCGAGGACTGCCTGGATGTATTTGCCAACGGTCTAATTTTTAATGGCACACAAGATATGGGGATTAAATATGGATTAAGGTATTTATTTTCATTCTTTTTTTTTTTTTTTTGGTATGGAAGAGGATGGTTGGGTTTTGATGTTTAGTTTGCCTTCTTTAAAAAAAAAAAAAAAAAGCTCAGAAGATGGCATTTGAAGCATCATTCCTTCTTAGTCTCCGTGTTTTTGAAGGTTGCCTGCAAGGTAGGGCCATGCTGAAGTCACCCAATGTGCCCAGCCCTCTGATTTTGGGGAGACAGACTTAACTCGCTTTCCTGACCGCTTTCCCTTTGTGCCACAGTGGTTGCTTTCATTGCACGAGAAACCGACTTAGTCTGGTTTGCCTTAAGCAAGAAAGGAATGCTAAACCTGCAACGCAGCTGCTGTTTGCAAGAAGGGTGGAAATTTTCTATAAATAGTTCAGAAGGTAATAGCATTGAGATAGCTGAAAAACAGTGCTGTGATCTGGAGAGATGGCTGCCTCTCCTTTCTGTTCATTCTCAGAAATATATGGGTGCATTTTAATCTAATCTGCACCTAAAGAGAGAGGTTTGGAATGTTTTGCACTGCATGAAATTGTAAATTCAACCATAGAATTTATGTGAAGAAATGTTCTATCTTTTCTTATTTCCTTCCTTCTTTTTCTCTTTCTTTTCTCTTTCTTTCTTTCTCTTCCTTCCTTCCTTTCTTCCTTCTTTTCTTCTCTTTCTCTTTTCTTCTCTTTCTTTTTCTTGCTCTCCCTTTTTCTCTTTTTCTTTCCTTCCTTTTTCTCTTTCCCTCTTTCTTTCTTTCTTTCTTTCTTTCTTTCTTTCTTTCTTTCTTTCTTTCTTTCTTTCTTTCTATTTTCTTTATTTTCTCTCTTTTTCTCTTTTTTCTCCTCTTTCCTTTCTCTCCCTCTTTCTCTTTCTTTCTTTTGTTTCTCTTTCTCTCTCTTTCTTGGTTGTTTGAAGATCACCAGAAAGTTACATGTTTGAATGAAGATTCATATCAGGATGTGAATTTATTTGCCACATATTATAAAAGATTTTTACCATACTCTTTGTCTATAGTATACTAATTAGAATTTTTTTATTGGCCAAGTGTGACTGGACACACAAGGAATTTGTCTTGGTGCAAATACTTCATGCTTAGAACCGATGTTTATAGTAGTAAAGGGAATTTTGTTAACACAGAATATTGTATATACTGTATATTCAGGTATTCTTTCTGAAAATCTTTCATTCAATTAATTGAAAAGAACTCCCATAATCATTTCTTTCTCTGTTTAAAAACTTATTTTAAAAAAGAAAGAAAATTGCAATCCACTTTATTCCTGATTAATATCCACATGGGACTCCTTACTCCCAAATATAACACATTAATTATTAATGTATTGTAGAAATTCTACAATAGTTTCTGCTCTTCTGCCTTCCATTCTAGTTATTATAGTATAATATATTGGCTGGATCAACAAGCATTTATGTAGATTAGTTAGAGTTACCAGCCAATTATAGAAATTCTAGGCATTGTGAAAAAAACAACCCTCCTTGCAGAGATTTGAAAATCATTTGGGTTGTAACATACCATATATAATTATAATTTACCTATACTTGCATTATGCTGAGCCACATCATACTCATTTCAGGGGTTTCTTGCCTTATAGCAGGGATGTCAAACTCACATCATCATGGCAGCACCACGTGATGTATATGGAACTTTTTCCCCCTTCACTAAACCGGGTGGGGGCAGTGCAAGCACGTGAAGCATCCAACCCGCAGGCTGCGAGTTTGACACCCCTGCCTTATAGCAATAGCATTTAGACTTATATACCGCTTTACAATACCTTACAGCCCTCTCTAAGCGATTTACAGAGTCAGCCTATTGCCTCCAACAATTTGGGTCCTCATTTTACCCACTTCAGAAGGATGAAAGGCTGAGTCAACCTTGAGCCTGGTGGGATTTGAACTGCCAAGTTGCAGTCAGTCAGCAAAAGTAGCCTGCAGTACTGCACTCTAACCACTGCGCCTCTGCAACTCATTGTATTTGAATTAAACAAAAAATAAAATGATACTGAATTCTACCTTTATAATCAAGGAAAAACCCTGCAGAACTCAAAATTTTGTAACACAAGCCAACAACTATTAAATACATTATGCTAAACCAATGTTTGCATAGGATTGTAGCTGCTCAGAATCACCTGAAACACAAGATAGACAGCAAATAAATTTAAGAAAGAAAGAGAGGGGAAAAGAAAAAAAGAAAGAAAGAAAGAAAGAAAGAAAGAAAGAAAGAAAGAAAGAAA